CTGTTTTAGCACAAATTCGGAAGAAGTACTGGATAGTACAAGGGCGGCAATTAATCAAGAGTGTTTTGCGACATTGCGTTATATGCAAGCGGCTGCACGGTAAAAGCGCGTCCGAGCCTTGGACTGTATTGCCAATCGAAAGAGTATCAGTGGGTCGACCGTTCGAAACCACTGGTGTCGACATTGCCGGACCACTTTTCGTAAAATCAGATAACGAGAAGCAACAAAAGAAGGTGTACATTATGTTATTTACATGCGCAGCGATTCGTGCGGTACATTTAGAATTAGAAACGATATGTCAATTAAAAGCTGTATCGATTCACTAAGAAGATTTATAGAGCGTCGCGGCGTGCCAGCTACTATAGTCTCTGACAATGCCAAAACGTTCAAGCGCGCGGACCTGGAGCTTACTAAACTAAACGAGCTTATGAGAACCAATGAAGTGCAGCAACTAACGGCACACCAAGGAATCAAGTGGAGCGCCTTGTCAGAAGCGTAAAGACGTCATTGAAGGCAGCAGTTGGAAAGGCACGTTTAACGTATGATTAACTGGCGACTCTTCTAGCAGAGGCTGAAGGTGTTGTAAATTTGCGACCTCTTACATATACAACTAACGATCATAACGACATGGAGCCACTTACTTCATCAAATTTTTTAACTGATTGCAAATCTATTTTGATTCCAACAGTTTTTAAAAATGACGAAAGTGCCCTTTCGCAATCCTGGCGTTTGCGACAAGCCTTAATGAAGCGATTTTGGAAGCGATGGCATGAAGATTACTTGAATCAACTTCGTTCCATTCACCATAACAAAAGTGGGCCAGCTCGCAGCATAAAAACCGGCGACGTTGTTTTGGTCCAGGAAGATAACAAACCACGTCTACTATGGCGGTTGGCAGTGGTACAAACTACGTATCCCGGGCGCGACGGTCGTGTCAGAGCTTGTGACAGTCGGCTACAAAACCAGCAGGTTCTAAAGAGACCTATCCAGCTTCTATATCCTCTTGAAATTGCATCGTCTATTGCGGGGGCCGAGTATGTAGAAAATTGCCATGAATAACAAAAATCTGTAACCTAACAGTTTTAGTACTTCCATACATACACACGTATTTCATTTACCTTTTAACATTCACTCATTGTATTCTCTTTTCATATTTACTTGTACTTATGTACTTAACCATAATTAGTTTTTAAAGTTTCAATAATAAGTTGAGGTATTAAATCGTTCACCGAGACTGTCTAAAATCGGGAACCTTACGAAATAGCGCGTTTTATATAAATCATTTTTTTCACTATCGCTAAATTGAGGTTTTAAATTTTCCCAATATATGCTGGAATTAAGTGTCTTTTAGGTATTCTGCAACGCCACTAAAACTAAATTAATAGCTCCATTGGTTTCCTAGAAATTCGCAAAAATGTGTTTTTCAGCTAGCTTAGCGCTGTTAACCTAGTTGAACAATCTTAAATTTTTTTGTTTTAATTTTCAAAATACATATATGCAGGAATTAGGTGTTCTTCAACACCAATAAAACTAACTTAGTAGCTCCACTGGTTTCCGATATATTCGCAGAAATGTTTGGCCACAATTTTCTTGCATTTTGAAATAAGTTCCTTTAAATTATCATGTGATAAAACGTCTTGCATAACTAAATTTAGGCTATGCGCAAAACAAGGAAGGTGACATTTTTCCAACAGTCTGCATGCCTTGACCATGCTCTGTGCATTATCAGTTACTATTGTGGTCACTTTATCAAAGATTTTCCATTCAGTCAGCACATGTCGTATAGAGCTCGCAATATTCTCTCCCGAATGGTTGGTGTCATCATTTAAGGGGTTAGTTGACAGCACAGCTGTTTTTAATTTGCCGTCCACAATGAAGTGGCATGTGACTGTTAAGTAATTTATGTCGTTTTTTGATGTCCAGCCATCAGAAGTAATCGAGCAATAATTTATGTTATTTAACATAGTTTTGAGACTTTTCACGGCGTTGTCAAACATTTCAACAAGTAGGACGTTTTGGAAAGTTGTCCTGCTTGGCAACTTATATCTCGGTTCTAAAACTCCCAGTAGATTTCTAAAGCCAACGTCATCAACAACACGAGTAGGCTGCATATCGGTAACTATCATTGATATTACTGCATTGTCGATTAAATTTTTTCGAGGATTATTGTCTTTATAGTAATTAGATTCCTTGAAAAAGTCTTTAATTGTTGATTTTTTGCATTCTGTCCCAGCATAATTCGGATGCACGCGATTTAGGTGCTCCCTTAAATTGGAGGTGTTACCACTAGTCTTGTAAATTTTCTTACAAATGCGGCATTTTGACGTAGTTTTACTTAGTTTGTCAAACCATTTCCACACATTCGAAGTACCATGTTTCGACCCAGATTTTCCAACTTCGTTGCGCTCTTTATTTTCATCATTCTCGTTTGCATCTATACAAACACACAGAAACACATTTTAGCTAAGCCAATATAGAATAAATTGTATCTACAATTGATCTTACCATTGTCGCCCAACACTTCTAAAAACCTCTCCATTTTCAACACAACCACTGAAATG